CTCTCTCTCTCTTCTCTCTCTCTCTCTCTCTCTCTCTCTCTCTCTCTCTCTCTCTCTCTCTCTCTCTCTCTCTCTCTCTCTCTCTCTCTCTCTCTCTCTGCACTCATTCCAGCCTTAGTTGTTTAACGTTCGGAAGGGAAAAGCTATGCATCTCAAATACTCATTTCTTCTCGTAACATTTTCGCAGATAAACTGGTAATAAAATCAACCGCAAACTGAGAACGAGAAATTCCATCCATATTACCTTTTTATTTTGTTCTTTTCCTTCAACCGTTGATTATTAAACTTTATTTACAGCGTCGGTTTATTACGAATTAATAATATTTCTTTGGTACAAGCGAAAAGAATGAATTTTCAACAAATGATTAATAAAAAAAAGAGTTGTATCTTCAAAAAGATTCTTGGCTTGTTCACAAGTATTGAAAAATATAGAGCGAAAGCATAGATTATTTTAAAAAACGGATTGAAACGAAGATGATTTTCTACTACGCACGTCTTGTTTAATCATCTTCTAGAAATGGAATTTCTACTAGAAAAAAAAAAAAAAAAAAAGTACGGCGAAAGCACGTGTTTGCCTTCAAATAGCGCGAGCTTAGCCAACTCGGATTGGACGTTTAATCGAATGATTCGAATTACGGAATCGCCCATAAACAACGCGTTTATTGACGATAATCCGTGGCATATGAAATATAATTTCCCAGCGCAGCTGATGTGGCTGGCTTCGCAGCAACGTTAACTTGGCACAAATGCCGCGAACTTGTTTGAGCGCGTTTCGCCGCCGAGTTCTCACAGCACAAATCTGGCGCGCTTACGTGCGCGGAATAACAACGTGCACGTATTTTCCTTTGTCAAACTTATTTACTAGCTCCGCACCTGCTTGCACCGCGATTATAGCCATGTTCATGTATTCCGATGCTGCGAGGAACGAATAAACCTTCAGGCGAATTTCACTACATATTAAATGTGTCTCGTGTCGCTTTTATCGTCGCAGGTTTCTCTTTGTTCAGGAAAATTGTAATAATAATAATAATAATAATAATAATAATAACTTAATGGACTAGCGAGATATATCTTCTCTCGTTAGTTTTGATTAAAGATTTATTGATTAAACGAGCACATAAATTATGAGCTGTCCCGTTTCCGATAACGTTCAACATCCTTACCTACAATTTCCACAAAATATATTTACAAATTTTTCATTTAATTATAATATAAATTTTTAACTGATTTATATGTATACATTGTATTCATATTTTCAATCGTGATATTATTTTGAAATTGTTATTGTGATATTATTAAAATAATTAAATTAATGAGATAGATCTTATTAAAGTTCTTATTATGTGTATCGCACAATTCCATTTTCTTCATATTTTTTATTGTAATTTGATTTTAAACTCGTTTTCCTTATTTCGTCAAGATAAAAAGATAAGGAGGAGAAGTTTGAAACGAAAGATTTAGCCTGACCCAGAAAACGAAATTTCATGTTTACACTGTTAAAGATGATGGCGAGAAAATATATCGCTACGTTATTGCCGCAGCTTTTATAATCTTTTCTTTGTCTTACGAGGATATTTGCGCTCTTGCTTCGCGATTTTTTTACCCTTATTGTCTCTCATAATTTTTTCCGCCCTCGCTTACGAAATCCCCCTTTTCTCTTTGACACCACCTGTACAACCTATTTTTTTCTTGTGAGCTTTTTTTATTCCACCTCCATTTTCTCCATTGGCAGTCTTAGAAATAACACTTTGTACACATCCTGTATACCCGCCTACGTTTGCCGGTCTACCATACCAGTGCCTACGTCGAATTATTACGATGAGGGTGGAAAGATAAACCAGAGAAAGGGGCTAGACCCTAACAAGGAAAAAAAGAAGCTAAGCTGATTCTTCTTCTCGCAGTGTCTTATAAATAAATCGTAATCCACGCATGAAATGGCTGGCATAAATTCCACAGACAAAACGTCCAATTCAACCCCGCATCGACAAACGTCTGCTTATTTTTACCCTTTTGAATCGTATTACTCATGGAAATTCATTTTTTATTTCTCGATCTTTTTAAGTTAAATATTTTTTTTTAATATTATATTACACAAGTCTTGATTTTGTTTTAAATTCAGCAAATTTATTTATCTAAAATTAATTTTATTCTTAAATTAATCTTGCTCAAATTACATTTTCGGAGTTTTCTTCCTCTTAATTTTACTTTAGAATTATTTTTTTTAAGTGTTATTACTATTTCTGCTACGAACATAATAACGCTTAGGATTATGTAATTAAAACCGACAATAATATTAATTAAAAAAAAGATATAACAAATTTCTTGAGAGTTGAGGTGAGGAATGTAATTAACCTCTATATTAATACAATCGTATTAACGTAATTATTGCAGTTAGATCGCCGAGTTAACACTTCCATTCTATTTTAGGTCGCCAAAACACAGAGATTAAGTTTAACTCCGACGGGGACGCCTACGGATTTTACAACATCTATCAATATCAAAGGAAGGACGAGGGCCGTTTCGATTACACCCTCATCGGCACGTGGAGGGAAGAGTAAGTAGCAACCTTCGATTCAAATGGGATTCGCAGAGTTTGCCATTTGTCGTATGGGTTGCACAAACTGTCACATTAATCTTTAACCCTCCTATATTTTAGGCAGCATATTATTTTAATCCAGTTAAAAAATTGA